GGTCACCTGAATTAAATTCACCCATTCCTGTCCATTTTAATTCGCTGATTCCCAAGATGTCAATGCAATTGTGTGAGATCTAGCAATCTTGTGAGACTTCAGCCAGTTAAAAAATATTAATTACATTTTTACTGAATGTGCAGGTCCTGCTGATGTGAACTGGAGGTGAGGTGGACATGTCCATGATGCCTTATTATAGCCGTGTAGCCAGCTTTCACTGTTGTGGTGGTGGTCCACATGAAGGCAAAGACTGGGAACTGGTGTTATTGAATATTCTCCTGAGAATGGTTCTAAGAAAATAGAGCTTCAATGGTTTCAAGTCACAGATGTTTAATTTATTTTGAGATTTTTTATTCAGGTGTGAAAGCTGTGATGTTTTGGTTTGAGAAAGTGTTTCTTTCTTTTCCCTCTCATATCTTCTTCATGATTCCAAAAGTTACTTTGGATGATAGACTGCTATCGAGCTTGAATGCAACATGTCTAGAGTCTTAATAATTAGATAGCTTATAAGCAAACACCTCACCTGCCCCAGCAACAACAACAACAAAACATCAGGAAGAGAATAATGAAGCTTTCTGCCCTTATAAAAAGACACTGGTTCTCTTTTGCTTGAACTTATTCTTTTTGCAGTGTACCCCCATGTGACATAACTTCAAAACATGTTCCTAAAATGCACCACCTTCCTGCTATTCAGCTTTAATATATGCAACAGGCATGTTTTGGAATTTGTTCTGTATATTTTTCTCTCCTCAACCTAAAATTTCTTCTCCGGCCATAAAACCTGAAATGTTCCTTAAGGGCCAATATACAGATAGTATTTCCCTTTAAGTAACAAAGATAATCTGTGGCTTTTAACAGCACCATTAAGTTGTACAAATAGCATTTCATAAATAAGTACAGTCTGACTATTTAAAAAGGTAAAGACTCTCTCAAGTCTGTTTCTGGTGATACAGAAGTGGTTTGCCACTATTTCTTCTGGGGTGCTTTTTTATTTTCCAGTTTAGCCTATAATCCTGAGATTTCTTGATGATCTCCAAACCAAGTATTAATTAGGCCCAAATTTGCTCAATTTTTTTTTCAAGAATAAGCTAAGGCTATTCTTAGGTACTGCCACCTCCCATAGACCCATGGATATTTACAACAATGCAAAAGTTCAGAACATAGTTAAGCCTAACCTTAACTGCCAAGAGTCTTGTGATTGTGATGGGCAAGATATCAACCAATAAATCAATTGCTTTGTTGCATCGGAAGTTATTGTCTGCTATTTGCATAATGCCCTTTAGAATTAGTATTCACAACTAACAATTGGAATCACTGTGATGCTCCTTTGTCTCTTGTGTTTTAGCTATTTTTCCTTTTGCTCTTATCAGAGGTGATGATCAAATTTGGAAGCATATTTTTTTCAACTATCTACAGTTACTTGTACCAATGAATCTCAGGAAATGGTGGTTTGCTTAAATTATCATTTCTGAGAAAGCCAGAATCCTGGCTCACTTTCATCTACTATAGTTTAAAGAAACCAAGATTCTGTTACTTTGAAATCAAACATTTATTTTCCACTTCCTCCTTCGCAGTGGGAATGAAAGAAGGAAGACAGAATGCACAAGCCTTGTTTTCATACTGGGGGATTATGCTTTTCTTCTGCAGCTGAACTGGGCCATATTATATACAAATGCATTAATGAACTTTTAGTGTAACAGTTGTGTTAAAGTGGAGGGAAAGAAGAAAATAACTTACAGGTATGCCTTGCCAAGGAATAGTTGGATCCACCACTTGTTGAGCCAAAACCTTCTGGAATTTGACTAGAGCTGCGTGGTCTAGTTAGCAACTTTGGAGGCTCTATTTCTGCTCCAAACTCTGCTCCAATTACTCCTAGCAGAACGATGGCAGTAGCTTGTTTCCGTCTCTCTTCATATGACATAGATATTTTTTTAATTTGTGGAAGTCCAGACAGAGAACCTGTAATACAAGTGCATAAGGATAAGGATGATTAAACTGCTATCTGCTTCACTAGAAATTAATGGTTTTGGTTCCAGTAACACTGAAAATCCTTTTAAATACACTCTTCAGAGCTCTTTTCCACACCAAGAGTTAACCTTTAGCCATGTAGCTACCTACATAGTGCAGCTCATTCCCACACTTCACATTAACTGCAGAGGTTCCTACTCATGGGAAAGGAATCTACAGAGTATATTCTTCAGTATCAGGACAGCTCCTCAACCAATGCAATGATGAGAAAGCCATAGCATCGAGGCTTCCCATATGATTTAATAGTGGACCAAGGTAACATTGGTAAAAAACAAAAACAAAAAACGGAACCCCCGCACCTACTTTTAAAAGCAACTATCAAGGAAAAAAAAAAAGAGGTGAGATAATGATCATGCTGAAAGATTATTTTTCCTTTAAATTATATTTCATACCCAAAGGCAGACTACCCATTGAGTCAAGGGCATACAGCAATTGTGCTGATTCCTTGCTTCCTTAATTTTTTTTTTCTTCCTAATGTTTTTCCCGCAGGTGCAGGGTCTGCTTTTTTCGGATCAACTGAACGTTGATCCATTGGTTGTGACAGGAATTGACCAATCGGCTTGTCGCCCGAGCCTGACGTCATAGGCTGAGAGACAGGGACTGGCCCAAAGTCACCCAGCTGGCTTTTATGCTTAGTCGGGACTAGAACGCAGAGTCTCCTGCTTTCTAGCCTGGAGCCTTAACCACTAAACCAAACTGGCTCTCCCTTGCTTCCTTAAAATACACATAGATATTACATGTGGATGATATTACAACTCAAGCACAAATGACTTCACAGTTACCCAAAGGCATTACCAAGGCATGTGCATGGGTGTGTGTGTGTGTGTGTGTGTCTGTATGCATGTATGGTGGGGATGGGAGGGGAGTACTTAAATTAAAAGAGCAAAGGAACATAAAATTTAGACAATGGACAATCTCTTCGTGGCCAAGAGCCATACTCAACATTTTGGGAAAGTGAAGCCTGCAGTGGATAGCTAATGACCCCACATAGGTTTCTGTCCCCCTTTTGCTTTCCCTTAAAAAACAAACAAACAAATAAATCCTGATGCTAAGCCTAATTTCCAATATTTGTGTTTTCTCTATCTCAAATTGGAAGGAAATTATGCCTCTGTTTTTCAGAATTTATGGTTAGAGGGGGCTGTATAAAAGGGGTTCAAGAGCTGCACATACCCTAGGTCTGAAATAGCTCATGCTTCTTGTAGCAGAATAACAGTGTCAAACGTTGCTTAAATGTAAGTGCACTGACCATGGTGTACTACATTTGCTACAAAGACACTGGTTTCAAAATTAACTTGAAAACTGCATTTAAGAGAAACTTATATTTCCACCCATTTGCCAAGAATCCATTTTCAGTATATTTTCACCAGCATTATAAAAACCTCACTTCTTCTTACTGCACAGTGGTGTTAAATCTGTTCTGAAAGAAATCAGAAGAAAGCACTTGCTTCCCTGGAAGAATTGCTACAACTGAAGATGAACAAATTGTGGATTAACTGGAAAAGCATCATCATATGGTAGTCCTTCAGGTTCAAAGAAGACATGCTGTTGTGCAGCATATCTGTGGACACGGAGGTGGCTCTGCAGTCCCAGTCTGGAAATGCAGAGTCTAGCACAATGGGGGCACTGGAAGTCCATTGTTGTAGTAAGTGTGGGTGTTGTTCTGTGATGCCGCTCACCGTTTTCTATCAGTTTTTGGCGGCATCTGTCTTCAAAGCCAGTGGAGGCTTCATAGCACAGGACTCGCCAGCGGGTTCTGTCAGCAGCCACAGCTTCTAGTTCCCTTGGCTGGATGTCACAGTGGTATAGGGTTTCCTTCACAACATCTTTGTAGTGCTTGCATGGTTGACCTTCAGGTCTCTTCCCAGACTCCAGTACACCATAGAGCAACTGGCAAGGCATATGGTGGTAATCCATTCTGAAGATGTGCCCCCCCCACCACAGCTGGACTCCGATAATCAGGGACTCAGTGCTGGTGGACTCCACACAATCCAAAACCTCCAGGTTGGAGACATGGTCTTGCCAACGAATGCCAAGGATGGAACAGAGAGCACGCATGTGAAATTTCTCCAGCTGTTTGATGTGTCTTTGGTCCAGAGTCCAGAACTCATATCCATATAGGAGAGAAGGAATAACCACAACTCTGTAGACTTTCAGGTTTGTGGAGATATGGATGTTGTGTTGATTGAGCACTCTATTACACAGCCACCCCAGGGCCTGACTGGCCTTGCTGATCCGGGAGTCAATTTCTTTGTCCAAAGACCCATCGCTTGAGATGATGCTTCTCAAGTATCTGAAGCTGTTTACATTTGTTAGCTGTGTGTTATCAACAGTGATTTTTGGTTCTACGGGGTTGGTATTTGGCACGGGCTGGTAAAGTACTTCAGTCTTGTTCAGGCTGATAGTGTCAGGCCGAAGAGCACAACAACATCTGAGAACTTGTTCAGCATCAACTGTACATCACTGTCTTTGTGCACCAGAAGCACACAGTCATCAGCAAAGAGGGTTTCTTGGATGACTGTATGGAGGCAGTTTGTTCATGCATTCAAGTGGCAAAGGTCAAAGAGAGAGCTGTCCAGTTGGTCCCTGATGTACACTCCCTCCTTCAGACCCTGAACAGGACGTGACAACATGCAAGCAGAAAGACTGAACAGGACTGGGTTAGCACACAACCCTGTTTTACCCCATTGGAAATGGCAAATGTAGCTGATGTATCACTGTTGTAAAGAATCTGTTCTATCATTCCATTGTGGAGTAACTGAATCAACTTCACGTATTTCCTCGGGCATCCACAATGTCTCAGGATGATACAGAGAGCCTCCCTGTTTACAGTGTCAAGTGAGAATATATGTAGCTCAGAGTTGAACTGTGGAGTCCCTGGCGTTCTCTGAGCTTGGTTGCTTTCTTGCAGAAGTTTCGTTACCTGACTAGGTAACATCTTCAGTGCTAGAAGGGAGTGGGGTTTGCTCTCTATTTATATAGAGTAGCTTGCCAGGAGTCATCTACAACATACAGTGTAAGGACTGTAACAGCCACTATGTTGGACAGACTTGCAGAAGACTAGCAGAGCACATCCATGAACACCTACTAAAAGTCAGAAGACACAGTGAAAACTCCTTAATCACACAACACATGGATAGACTCAACCATAGTTTCAACTGGAAGACTGTCAGTATCCTAGACCTAGCTAAATCCAAAAACGTAAGGGAATTTCTGGAAGCTTGGTATTCAGACAAGTCATCCATCAACAGGCACATAGAGATAAACAGCATTTGCCCATCATTCAAAAGTGACAGTAAAAAAGCTAAAAAGGAAACAAAAAGACCATAACACCTCCTCACCAGTAATCAACACCCAGATAAGCAGGGATTAACACCAGGATTAACACCAGACAAACAATCAAGAGTAAACAACAGCCTAATCAAGGAACTACCAAAAAGAAAAACCATGCCCCCACCAACACTGACAGGGCAAGCTACTGTATATAAACAGAGAGCAAACCCCACTCCCTTCTAGCACTGAAGATGTTACCAAGTCAGGTAATGAAACGTCTGCAAGAAAACAACCAAGCTCAGAGAACACCAGGGACTCCATGATGTCAAATGCCTTATCAGGTCAATGAAGGCAGAGTAAAGAGGTTTGTTCTGCTTGATGCATTTCTCCTGGACTTGCCTCATGGCAAATATCATGTCTGTTGTACCCCATCCTGGCCGAAAGCTGCACTGCACCTCTGGGAGGTTCCTTTCCAAGGCAGTAACAAGTCTGTTCAGGAGAATGCGGGCAAAGATCTTGCCTGCAATGGACATTAGTGAGATACCCCTCTAGTTTCCAGTCTGATCTGCTTCCCTTATTTTTGTAGACAGCCACAAAGAGGGCATTGTGGAAGTTGTCAGGCATCTCCTCTGTGGACCAAATGTCTTCCAAGATGTCTTGGAATGCCTGTAAGGTGTTTGGGTCTAGTGCTTTGTCGATCTCATCAGGAACTGCATCCTGTCCTGTTGCTTTATTTGAGTTCATCTGTGAGATCGCTTTCTTGATTTC